GTGGATAACCACCATCCTACCCATGGCTGAGGCTGAAGATGTCGAACGCCTCCGCCGTGCAACCGAGCACCGGGAGAAGCGTAGCCGGCGTCGCGAGGCTCGCGTGGCGGAATGGGTGCAGGAGATCCGCGCGATGTTCGACGACGAGTTTGAAGATACCTTCCGTATTACCCGCGAAGTCCTAGACCTCATTGCCGAGCGAATGGCCTACCCCATGTCGCGTTTCGTGGAAGTGAATGAGGTTCCCTTGTCACTGTGCTGTCTTATACCCATCAAGTATTTTGCTAGCGCCATGACGTTCCGCGATTTGGGCCTCTTGTTTGGATTGCCGCCAGGACTCATCCACCGTATCGTCGATGCCTTCTTGGTATGGTTTCCCCGCAAGTTCAAGCGTGAGTGGGTGCAGTTTCCTACGGAGGACGTGAGGGAGGAGATGGGCGCGCGACTTCCGTGCTATCAAGGGAGTTCCCAACGTGATTGGGGCGATTGACGGGACCCACATCGAGCTACGTGGCATGGAGGCTCACCGTGGTGACTACTACAACCGGAAGCAGGTTTACAGTGTCCAACTTCAAGTGACATGCGACTCAAAGGGGGTCATCTGGGATTACAACGTGGGCAATCCTGGTTCAATGCATGATCAAGGTGTTTTCTCAACATCTGATTTGCATGGCAGGCTAGAGAGTGGGGAAATCGCCCCCTATCAGCTAGTAGGAGATGCGGCATACCCGCTGAAGCCTTACATGCTCACCCCCTTCACGCCCCACGCCGTCGCCGTCGCCTGATGAAGAAATGGGAGCAGACATACAACTACGTGCAGTCTGCTACCCGCATGGTCGTCGAGCGCACCATCGGCGCGTTGAAGGGACGCTGGCGGCTCTTCGCGCGTAGGAACGAGAGCAAACTATGGCGTGTATGCGCTGGGACGGCCTGCATCATCATCCTGCACAACATGTTGCAGGTCGTTAGCACGCTGCGCATGAAAACGCACAGTCAGCGCCGCTTTATCTGGGCCGGGCTCCCTGACGGGTGGTGGACAAGAAGCGGCATGGACAAGTACGAGTGGCAGAGCCTTGACAACCCTTCGTTGGCCGATCTACGCGCGCGCAGGCATCACTTCGGCAAACACATCCATCGCGCTTACCTTAGGCGTCACCGTGTGCGGACGTCGGCGCACTAAGGCTCCGCATGCTCCTCGACATCCTCGGACACTCCCATGTTCTCGTCGCCCGCAACTTCCGGATGGGCTGGAGTCGGGGTATTCGAAGGTGCCGCGATAGGCGCTGGCGGGCTGGCTATCTGCATTCGAAAGCCAGCCTGGAGCGCCGCCATGTTCATGGCGGCGGCAAGGAGTTGGGTGGAGTCTTGCAACTGTCGCACCACCGTCGCATTGGTGGAGTTGATGGCCTCGCTCACCATCTTTGCGGCCGCCATGGTGGCAGTCTCTTCAATCCGCCGTCGTTTAGGGGGTGGAGTCACCCCGGCATCTGTAGTGAAGGGTGTAGGGGGTGGATGTCAATAAGGCGGAAACGGTTTTCAGGTGTTCGTTAACTTTATGGATATTTGATTCATCTACCTCCAGTTCATGATCACGTTGATATTTGACGGTCGATACGTCTAACGTTGAACCACAATCGCTGGAACGGAGATATCAGTGGCAAACACAACGCTGAACCTGAAGCAAAGCACTTCATGCTCAATCTTACGAATGGGGAGTACACACCTGGTGTGGTCGCCTGACGGCGTTTAGCGCGCCCACGGCCCTCCGATGGAGGCGCAGAAGTTTCCCGGTCGGTGCAGCCGGGCACCGGGGCGTACGCTTGGACGTCAACGTTCGCCGCGCCTCCACTGTCGAGGGCGTGCGCCTTGGCCTTCGCCGAGTGCTTTTAAGGTGGTAGACGTATTCCCACCACGGTTTTTTCTTTATTGCTTTCCCTCCGCTCTGTCCCTCCCCCCGCTTCGTTTTCAGGTACTTCTTCTCGAGGCGTTTCCATGCGTTGGACATCTGTCCCTCATCGCGGTCCCAATTTTTGTCCTTTTCAACCATGTGGGCGCGGAGCTTCCTCCAGTACTGGCTCCCCTGCTTGCCCTGCATAGCCTTCAGGTCGTCTTTAGTGTTCCAACGAGCGGCCGCCAGGGACGTCAACTCGGCGTCCGACCACACGCGCTTGTTGCGAGACGCAGGAGCCCGATGCTCCTTCTTCGACGGTCGTGTGCTGCGCTCATCACCGCTTCCGTCGTCGCCTCCATCAGTATCTTCCTCGTCCTCTTCACTGCCGAGTTTGTAATCGGCTGAGTCGGCATCGCTATCCGACTCCGAGACGATCTCCTCGAGATCGTCATCAGAGACGTCAGTATCGGCGCCTGTGTCGGGATAGTCATGTCGAGAACTTCGGCTACTGCTGGCGCCCGCAGTTTCGCGTACGGCCTTAGCCATACGCTTGATAGATGGGGATGGCTTCCCCTGCTTTTGCTGCTCTTTCATCCATGCGACGTAGGGGGGGTCAGGTGTTTTCTCATCATCGCTAACCTTCTCCTTTCCCTTGCCGCGTGAGCTTCGTCGCGGAGGCATCCTGGTTCTATGGGGTGGCTCACACACGAAGATAACGGGGTGGTGTGCAGGCTATTCTCAAGTCGAGATCTAGATCTACTTCATCCTCGATTTTTGTTTCTGCCGTTTTGTGGAACCCTTTGGTGAGGCTTTGTGGTTGGGATGGGTTTCGGAGGCGCGCAGATCCAAATGTTCTTTTTACCGCCGGGAATTTAGACGGGTGGGGTGATGGGGTGTTTGTCGCGCAACCGGGTGAAAGGGATCGCATGGCTTGAAGGCGGGAAAGCCTATTGGTTGAAGCAACATTTGGCGATGCCTTTTTTGGCGGGACAACAAACGCGCCTTTTTGAGGGTCGCACGATGTTAGATGACCCAAAGTGGTGTTTTGTGTAGTTCGGGGCATCCACAAATTGCGGATGCCCGGAACAGTGCTGATGACCCGAAGCTGGATACGCCCTAACCCCATCCGAGGATCTTCCAAATTTTGGACGACAGTGGCGAGATGTCGCCCCACCAGAGATTCTCGGAAACATCTGTCGCGCAGTTTCACGATGGACTGTTATCACCGCATCTAGGCATCTTGGTTCTGTGCCCAGCCCGGAGTCCAGCCAGAGACCAATTGACAGGCCTGGTCATCACTGCACATGTGTTACTCCATTGCACGAACAGCTCGTGGTGAGGGCGTAACGCGGAATTTGATCATCGTCAAATTGACGCGCCGTGCTTTGGAGACACCCTATTGGTTGGCGCGAGTCGGTGGGAGCTTTGGACCGACAACGGAGCTGATGAACCAGCCACCGTGTTTTCGGCAACAGCGGCATCCATTGGTGATGGTCGCGTCGCGTCGCGGGGCGTTCTCTCCCGCCACGGTCACTTCAGCGGCTGTGGGGGGGAATTGTCGTTCACAACTCCTTCCCTGCCTGCCACCAGCCTAGCAGATTTGCGGAACTAGGCTCCTTGGTCTGGCTACCAAGGACAAAGCAACTGGCCTGTAACGCATAACTCACGAAATGTAAAAACAGCGCGCTAGTCCCATCATTATCGTCCTGTTACGACTTTCGCCAACAGCACAAGCTTCTAGACCTTCATTTCGAAGCAAACAGTAGCTTCGGCGTGGTGCGGAACGCCTCGGTACGCCCCGGCGCAGCGGGTTTCGAAGCTTCAACCGTTCAAAACGATTAGTACCAAGAATCACCACGGTTCTTACCTTGCCCACAAATTCGTGCTGTACTACTCAACCAGCATGCTTCTGATGGCTGCTCAGGCGCCCTTCCTCTCCTGACCTGACCTTGATTGCCCTTCGTCCTTCCTTCGTCCCGCGCGCCGAGCGGTACCGACGGCTAGTGATCAAGCTATTTGGCGGCGTGCTGTTGCTACTAGTCAATCACAGCACCAGTGGGAGTGGAGGATGGACGGTTCAACTTATAAGTCTCGTTAACTCACAGCAATTTGTGACTAGAGCTAGAACCGTGGATTTCTTTCAACAAGATCAACAGCCTTAACGCGCTAACCTTTAGGTAGGAAACAAAAGACGTCGGAAGATTATCAGACGATTAAGTCTGATATTTACTTCAATTCCTTGTTAGGGAACCTTTCGCATTAGAACGTAGCCAGTGAGAATCGTAGTTAAGAAATCGTTAAGCCATGGATCCCGTGAGACTATTCTCCGATACATTCGGTGTAGACTATTCCGCCGCAGCGTACCTCGTCGGCGCGCTTTCGTCCATCCCCGTCGCGTACCTTCACCGGTTTATCGGCCTCCCGCGCTCCGCCATGTATACGCCGCAGTTTCCGGGGTGCTTCTATCGTTAATCTCCTTCACTCCCGACGTGCTGCTGCATTTCATCCTCGCAGCGGCCTTCACACTCGTCGTCATGCGAACGCAGCGAAGCATCTGCGGACTGGTTACCTTCATTGGTACATTCGCACATCTCATCGCATGGTACGTGGATTCCATCGAGTTGGTATCAAGGGGCAGGTCGCATCTGAGGCAGGTCGCATCAGGGGCAGGTCGCATCTATTCGCGTAGTAGTTCGCTTGAATAAGATAAGGTAAATCGTTTGAAGCTGTAGCCATAGATTACCTTTTGAGCTGGCCCGAGAATTGCGCCGCAGGTTGCGCTCTCAGCCGCGCTTGTTTTCCGTCACTTTGAACGACGGAGTCGTCGTAATGCGCGAGTGCCATCGGCACTCCTGCGTTCTCTACTTTCTCTTACTATTGTTTCTTGAGCACGCCAGAGTTTTCCTTTTTCCTGTGCGCTTTGCACATCGTCTCCTCTTCACCCCTCTTTCCCCCTCCCTTCTCCCTCTTCCCCAAACCCCTTCTTCCCCCTCTCCCCGCAAACTCGCGCCCTCCGCCTCTCGCGTACCCCGCAACTTGCTTCCTCTGCTTCTCGCTATTCACCTGCATCCCTCCTCGTCGCCTAATCCCGCGCAGCCACGTCATCTTCATGAGCGACGACGCGCGGAGAACGGGCCGCGTGGACTTCACGGGGACTCTAACGATCGTGGCGATTAAGCTGACGTCACTCGCCATGGACTACCAGGACGGCCTTAAAGCCCTAAAGGACGACGCGAAGCGCGCGGAAAGACGGCGAGAAACCCGAGAGCGAGCAGCCGTCGCGCGATGATCGGAGAAAGGCGGAGAAGCGGGCGAGAGTGATTAGAGAGATGCCGTCGCTGGTGGAGTTTCTGGGGTATCTTTTCTGCTGCGGGCAGCATCTGCTTGGGCCGTGGTTCGACTATCAATCCTACGACGACTGGACGCACCGCCGCGGGGTGACGTGCGTGGATAGGAACCCTAGTGTTACTTGGAGTGGGTAGGGACAAAACCGGAAACCTGGAAAGTTGTGGTGTGAGGTCAGCAATGAGTACGCAAGCAACGGGGACCAAGAAACCCTAGTGGGGTTTGTTAAATCCTATGTGTTGATTGGGCACACTGATGTGATGAGTGGTTAGTGCATAAACAAGGTAAGAGTTGCTGCACCATCAAATAAGGAATAAGTTAGAGCATGAACATGAACCGAGGTAGAGCATAAACCCTTATTCCGAGGTTCAAGACTGGGAGGTAATTAACGGGTTGGGCCCGGCCGTGAATGAGTTCTACATTCCATAAGCGGAATGATGGCTCAGCATGTTGGCATTGGCTTACCAACGAGGGTTTCGGGTCTAGGGTTTGGAGTGAGGCTAATTTCTTCATCCCAAGTGGTCATTTGTATTAATGCCACAGCAGGTACATATAGATGGGGCAGCAACAGCAAAAGAAATAGAAATGACAAGGATGCAATTCCTTTCCCCCTTCACCCTTCCCCATCCCTCATTCCCCTATCTCCCATTTCCCCCCCTGTCCTTCCTGCAGGTGTGGTCCCCGTCGGTGCGCTCCCCCTCGCCCATCCCGCCCTTCCTCCGCGTGCTCGTCCAAGGCTCATTGGCAGCAGCCGTCTTCCTCCTCATCTTCCCGCACCTCGACCTCTCCCTCGCCACCGACCCGGCGCGCTTCTTCGTGCTGCCCTTCCTGCGGCGCCTGCTGCTGGTGTTCCACGCCACGCTCGTCACGCGCTGGCGCTGCTACATCGTCTGGTCCATTGCGGAAGCTGCCATGGTTGCTGGCGGCCTGGGCTTCTCTGGTTGGGTTGCTAAACCTAGTGCTGCTGCTGGTGGTGGTGGTGCTGCTGCTGCCACTACTGCTCCTGGTGGTCCTGTTGTTGCCCCTAGTGCTGCTGGTGGTGGTGCTGCTGATACGACTGCTGCTGCTGCTGCTGCCTCTGCTGCTAACTCAGCTGCTGCAGGGGAGGGGGCAGCAGACGAGCACGACGGGAAGGAGAACCATGCGGAGAGGAATGGTGTCAGCACAGGACAGGCAGCCGCGGCAGCAGCAGCAGATGGAGGGCAGGTGATGATGGGAGGGCGGGTAATGATGGGAGAGCTGGTGAACAAGCAGGGGGGCAGCACAGCGGGAGTCAAGGGCTCTGCAGTAAGTGGTGAGAAGAAGAGATCACACGCTGCCACCCCTGCTGCTCCTGCTGCTCCCACTCCTGTTACTGCGTCTGCTGCTGCCGCCACTCGCACTGATGCTGATGACGCCCCTGAGTGTTCACGTGCGGAACGGCAGGTGGCGGCGTCAGGTGCCGAGCGACAGGTGGCATCGTGGGATAGGGCGCGCAACGTGAATATCCTCGGCATGGAGCTCGCGAGCACGGGCGCTGACGTGGCAAAGAACTGGAACATCTCCTTCAGCACGTGGCTGCGCATCTGTAAGCATCGGCGCCGTTGCTGCTGCCTGCAAGCATATAGGGTCCACAGGTTGCCATCCTCGTTAGTGCCATCCTCGTTAGTGCCATCCTCGTTAGTGCCATCCTCATTAGTGCCATCCTCGTTCTTACCATCCTCGTCTGTGCTATCCAACATCACAATGCTGCACATCACAACGTGACCCCCCATTGTCCCTCGCATTCAACTATCACCTCACGTTACGATTCTGCTCACTCCTTTGCTATCCCTCATTTGTCCCGTACTGCTCCCTCTCCCCCGTGGCGCTCCCCCACACAGACGTGTATGAGCGGCTGGAGGCAATGCCAAGGAAGAGTGCACTATTCAACCTGCTCTTCACCTTCTTCATCAGCGCCATTTCGCATGTGAGTGCCCTCTCTCTTAACGTTTCATGTCATGTGGTTGATTTCTGAGCCTCCTCAGAAGGGGAGGAGTGCATTGTTCTAACCTGCTCTTCACATTGTTCATCAGCGCCATCTCGCATGTGAGTGCCCTCTCGGTTCACACTTGTGTCACGTGGCTGCTGCTCTCATTGCCCTTATTTCCACCACTCCCTGATCTGAACCCATAAGGTTTGACCTACTGCCATTCAACTCTTGTTCTTCCCTCCACGAGCCTGAACTTTTGGCACTCATCTCTCCCTCGCCTCCCCCATTTCCTCTCCTCGCAGGGTCTGAACCTAGGGGATCTGATCAGGTTCGCCCACTGGGCGCTCATGATAGCGGGGTCGCGCGTCATCTACCGCTGGCCGTTCCCTCTAAGCCAAAGCTCATTGGTCCGATATTCTCTAACAACTCCCTCCCTCCCTCTCCTCCGTCCCATTCCCTCCTCCTCCCTCAGGGTTTGAACCCAGGGGATCTGATAGGCTTCGCCCACTGGGCGCTGATGATAGCGGGGTCGCGAGTCATCTACCGCTGGTCGCGGCCTCTAGCCCAGGGCTCGCTGCCTCGCCGCGCTGCCTCGCTGCTGCACTTCCTCTACGTGCTGCTCTGCATCAACTACGCTGGCTTTGGCTTCAGTGTGAGTGCTTGTGCATCTTGAAGTGCGTGATTGGATCTATGTTGCCTCGCTCGCTGCTGCGCTTCCTCTACGTGCTGCTCTGCGTAAACTATGCTGGAATCGGGATCAGTGTGAGTGCTTGAGGCAATTTGAGGTGGTTTTTGAGATGCATAGAAATATCGTTCGTGCCACGTGCTGCTCTGCATCAACTACGCTGGCTGTGGCTTCAATCAGTGTGAGCATTTGTTGTGTGCCTTAGAACGCGGAGTTGTTAAGCACGTGTGATGAGTCGATTTTTGAGTCGACTCAAAAATCGATTCAGTGTAAGCATGTGTGCCTTAGAATGCGGAGTAGTTGAGCGAGTGCGTCTGCGTTGGGTTTGTTGTCGTGGGTGTCAGTCAGACTGCACGTGCTGCAGTGGAGCACCGCATGTGTGTTTGCCTGCATGTGCCGAGCTATCCCTTCTCACAACACCCCGCCCCTCCACACCCCCCTTCCCCTCCTTGGTTTCTCTTTCCGCCACTCGCATTTCTGTGCACGTCTTTCATTATTTACAATCTCCTTTCCCTCTCGTGGTGCTCCTTCGTGCAGGTGATGACGTTCCAGCACACGGTGCAGGCATACAGGGGGCTCTATTACTACGGCACATTAGTGCCTGTGATGCTCATCGTGGCAGGCAACTTCATCCGAACACCAAGGCCCAGGGGGGCCAAGAAAAGCCTCAAGACAGAGTAGCCAGGAGGACCCACTTTTTGAGTCAATTTAGCGTAAGCATGTTCTCCATTTGGTGGTTCTTACGGTAGTTTTGTGTATATACTATAATATTTAATATCGCTCGCATTTGATTGATAGCAAAAAGGACGACATTTGGAAGGAAAGGGATAGCTCGCAGCAACAACACTTACAGCTACCTAGCAAATACTCCTAGCATCTCAACGGATCACACTACCAGCCTTATCCCATCCACCTCCACAGGGCCGGCCTATTATTCTCTGCCTTGCACACAGCCATGCCACGGTGGCTGCACGTGCGCCGCATCAACTCGTTACAGGGCGTCCCATTATTAGCAGAATACTGTTGCACCTATACACCCTCTCGCGACGTTTCTCCTTTAGAAGTTGGTGCCGCTCTCGTAGGTCGTCCCGGCACTCCATCCGCTCGGAATCACGTCTTGCAACACCACCTGCTGCCCGCCGCCCGTCACGCGCACGCTCACGGGGCGCCCCGCATCGACGACGTCCTTGGCGGGATTGAGCACCCACGTGGCGCCCCATCCGTACGTCGTCATGCTCGACCACTGCGACCCGTCATTCGACAGCTCCACGTTCTCCACGCCTCCGCTCCCCGCCGCTCCAAGAATCTGAAGCGCGAAGTTGTACGAGTTGCTATCGTCGACTAATCTGACCTTCATTCCGCCGTTGCTAGGGCAGTCCACGCTGTGGTAGTCGATCTCCACGCGCCCCGCGGCCCGGTCAGCGACGATTCTATCCCACGCGGCGAAGTTGAGGTTGAAGTCGCCGTTTTGGCCGACCGCGCGCACCAGCACGCTGCCCTCCAAGCAGCTCGGGTGGTTCATGCAGGAGACTTCGTAGCACCTTCCGCAGCCCTTTCCGCTGTTGAAATCGCCCGAAGGAACCTGCGCTACCATGCCGTAGTCGAAATCCGAACTCTCGCCGTAGTCGAATTGGCCGCGGTAGCACGTGCCCTCGCGGTTCAGATCAGCGGATGTGGCGTACATGGCATTGGCCGGAGTGAGGGAGAGAGCAAGCAGAACGATTCCTACGCACAGTAAGAAGCCGACCTTGAAAAGGCGAGCCATTGGAGAAAGGGAGCAAGGAGTGGCTTAGATACTGCGGGAGCTTTCTGCTGACTAGGAACAGCCCAAGTCTGAAAACTAAAACTAACCAAGCGGGCTTGAGTATCAGACACACTGAACGCTTGGATGGCAGTGATAGATTTGGATGATGATGGTGAATTAGCAGGAGACTAATTTAGTTTCGAGACTCTCAGATGTTCAATGCAGAGTGCGGCTCGAGTCGGTTCGATATTTTTCCTGGTAATTGGGGCTCCGCTTCCAAAACAATAATTTTGGTCTCTTCACAAAGTGACTGCTAGGCGACAGCCACGAAAACGTTGTAACACTCATCGTGAGTCAAAAGTTTGGAAGGCGATTGGCTCGATAATAACTGGCTTCATTCGGTGATTTGCTGGTAATAATTTCGATGGAAGCGGCTTCCTGATGCTACCCCGCGGTGAGAGGCTCAACGATTATTGTCGCCCCGCAACGCTAGTATCTGTTGGGCCTTGGTACGGCTGGTAACTCAGCTATTTGACGAACCCTCAAAGTCAGCTTTCGCAGGTGGTAACACAACATGTGATTTGACTTGGCTGGCATTCGTATGTGTGCTCACTCGCACAATTTGCAGTTGGACGAGCACACAAATGCAGCGAGAACATATTACGAGGCGCGTTTTGAACCCGAGTGTTGTATTGTTGTATACTCATTCTAGGTGTTGTATTGTTTCTCGCTGTCATCTCACGCTATTGTTCCTCGCTATAATGTCTCGCGTATGGCCGTGTTTGCCCGTCTGAGCTCATTCTAGGGCTTGGTATGTTTCAGTGCAAACCTCGCTACCCTCGCTACATTGCACCCGTAACATGGATGAAAGGACTACAGAAAATTTGCCACTTGGTTACTGGGACACCCCTTAGCATGTTATTCCCGAAACTGTGAGCTGAAGGCTCATCTGTGGCGATTCGGTTGAGAGAATTTCTCCAGTGGCCAATCGGGTGATTCGTCCTCTCTCGGGGGCCTCGATTTACTCGAGTGGCCACGAAATTGGGTGATAATTACTCGAGTGGCCACGCCAGGGGATTCCTGCTCGCTTTTTTTTCACCGGCGAATTACCCTACGGGGATTTGTAGCCCCGAAATTCCTTATTCGTGCGAGTGGTATCCCTAGGTAGTGTTCCGTTCTGTTCCGCAACTTAAAATTTCGCCAGGCTCACGGACGCGAAAGTGGCCCGCCCACTGTACAAGAAACCGACCAACAGTACATTGACCGGTCAATTTCGGCCAAATGCACGACCGATGAGCGCGCGGTCCATCTAATTCCGAACGAATCAGCGATCAGCGATCATATAATCATATAGACCCGAAGCGAACAGCCACACCCCTAATGCACGCGCATGATTCGTAAAAAACATGCGCGGTGCATATGTTGCCATTGAGCGTCCAATCAGGCGTCATCATAGAATTCCCTATCATATACCGAAATGATCGGCCATCAATTCGCGATAAACTAAATTACCGCGCGTGATTGGTTTGTTTTAATCTCAGGATATGCTTTGCCATTGAGCGTTCAATCATTCCCGTCCAAATGCGTGAATACATGTTTCTATATCAACTTACGGAGCATCACAACATATCTATGCGACAGCTGCAGCAGTGGGAGACGAAGGAGGAGGAGGAGCAAAGGGAGGAATGCACACCGGCCACCCCCATACCCGCCACCCCACAGGTCGCCCCTCAGGTCGCCTCGACAGACGACGGGAAAAAGGGGGGGGGGGGTGGGGGGGGGGGGGGGGGGGGGTAAGGGGGCCCACCACGGGCCTGAGAGGGTCGAAGGTAGGGGCACGGGGCCGGGGCCGAGGCCGCAGGTAGGGCGACGGGCCGCAGGTAGGGCGGCGAGGCCGCGACAGAAGGGGCGGCGGGGCCGCGAAGGTAGGGCGGCGGGTGGCCGCGAAGGTAGGGCGGCGGGTGGCCGCGAAGGTAGGGCAGCGGGGCCGCGACGGGTCCCCGTCGCCCGTCGCGGCGCCTCCAGAAGGCGACGCGACGAACGACGAGGCAGACGCCCGCCGCGCGCCTCGGGGCGCACAGCGGGCAGAGAACCGCCGCGCGCCCTCGGGGCGCACGGCGGACAGAAAACCGCCGCGCGCCTCGAGGCGCACGGCGGGCAGAAAAACCGCCGCGCGCCTCGGGGCGCACGGCGGGAAGGAAAAGTAGCAGCGGAAGCGAGGTGGTAACCCACCCACAGGATCGATCCAAGGGGATCGACCTGCTCTGATAGCATGACAAAATTAGAAGAAAGAAAGAGGAGTGAACTAGCAGAAATGGGGATACAAATAGCAAACCCTAGAAGGGTTGTACTCGCTATAGAGCACCCCACTACAGGCTAGAACATAAGATAATATTCTGACATTGACCTATACAACCATTATTTCATTGTATTCATAGCACTAACTAAACTACTATACTGTATCCGTCTTTCGCACGTAACGGTATGAGCGTGCGTTAACAACGAACCCAAAAATTCGGCTAGTGGACCGTTCATATGCGCGTTGTGTTTCGACCAGTCACGTGTTCATGTATATATGACCGGTCATATATGCGGGAGCATATGCGCAGTCATCTGTGCGTGTGTGTATTACTGGTAAAGTGCGGTATACTATAGGGCCATTCAATTGTTCGAGAGTATATTATTGGTCAGGAGCGTAAAGTTATATGACTGGTCATATGTGGGATCATTAATCTTTTTTCTTGGCAGTCACCAATATTCATCTAGAAGCAAAGAACAAGCAGCCTACCACAGTCCCTATTATTCAAGACTAAGCATGTTATCGCACCCCCCCATTAGTTTGCTACATGATTGAGAAGATAAGACAAGAATGATGTGAACTATGAATGAAGCGAGTACAAATATGAAACCCTAGTTCGGTTGTACCCCCTATGGGATACCCCACTATAGCCTACACAATAGCATAAGCTATAATGTTCTGACACACCCCCATAGGCAAAGTCGGGGAGAACAAGTGGTCACAAGACCAGTCAAGCAAAGCAAAGCAAAGCTCAGGGTGGATCACAAAGTCACCACACATTCCGAGCACAAGTTCAAAGGCCAAAAGGCCAGTTCACATGCAAGAGCACACACACACACATATATACATATATATATATATATATATATATATATATATATATATATATATATACGAGGCTAAGCAAGCAAGAGCAGGAGTATATATATGTGACAGTACAAGCAAGGTCAAGAAGTGAGCAAGTGAGGCAAGACAAGCACAAGACCCAGCTGAGTGCAGAAGCGCTGATGATCACAAGGCGCAAGTGCCTTGGTGAAAACATCAGCAGTGTTGGCCTCAGAGGCCACGTACGCAAGCCGCAACTGTCCACGCTGCTGTAGCTCACGAGCAAGAAAGTAGCGGAGAGCAATGTGCTTTGTCCTGTGCTCCAGTCGTTGCTCTCGACAAAAGGCCAGCATGGCCTTGTTGTCTACGTACAGGACTGGAGGAGAACGAGGCGGCTCTCCAAGGTCGGACAGCAGGTAGGTGAGCCAGCGAAGCTCCTGGGCAGCCATAGCCCCGGCGTAGATCTCAGCCTCACAACTAGAGCCGAGAACAGAAGACGAGCGGGTAGCTCGCCACGAAACAGAGCCGGAACCAAGACTGAAGGTGTAACCCTGTGACGACCGCGGCGTAGCCTGGTCGTCAGCCCAAGAAGCGTCCGCGTGCCCAGTGAGGACCACTGGACTCCGCCCTCCAAGCACTAGCCCCATGCCCGACGTACTGCACAAGTAGTGCAACACCCTCTTCGCTGCAGCCATGTGCTCTGGTCGGTGTCTCCCAGGAGCAACATAGCGTGCAAGAATGCTAAGAGGGTATGCAAGGTCAGGTCGTGTGCAGGTCATCAGGTACATGAGGCAACCAACAAGCTCTGGGTAC